AATATCAATGGGAACACCATAAACGCTCCAATAATCATCAGGATTATTAATACCATTACCACCGCCATCAGGACGACCAGGAACACCAGAAAAACTAGGATACATAGGTCTTCCATAACTAGCAGGACCATCAGAAGCATCATAACCATTTGGAATACTAAAATCACTAGCTCCTCTTGGACCATAACGACTAGAACCACCATGTCGACCAGGTACACCATGAAGTCTCCAATAGCCACCACCAGTTCTATCTGCTCGTCTAACACCATAATCAGCAAATTCGTTAAATATACTAGGCTTATTGTAGCATTTTACAATCATCAAGGACATTATTAACACTAGCATCCTCAACTGCATTATCATCATCATTATTATTATTATCTTAATATTAGATAACAATTTATGCCTAGGTTTTATTTTAAAACATGACTGAACTTTTTTTTTAAAAAAATATATGGAGAATATAAATAAATTAATCAAATTAATAATTATATTTTTTATATTTGTAAATCAATACATAGCACAAAATTTTGTATAGTGACTTTTACTTAAAAAAAATTAATTAATTAAATTTAAGGTCGTCATCAATAAAGATGTCAATTATTAATTAAATATTGTTATAGTTTCTTAAGCTATATATTATTTATTAAAAAAATAAAACATTTTTTTATTATTAATATATACCATGTTTTTTTTATATATTTTTATATTAATTATAATAAATATTTTAACTGAGACTGACATACTTAAAGATGAAAATATATATATTTATATATAAAAAACAGTAAATAATCTGATCTATAGTGTTTAATAATTGCGTAAAGGCGTGGTTCACATATTACGTTCGCACTTGGGGGGTTTTAGTCAAAGCGTATTTTTGCGAACGAGGGGGAGGGGTAGAGACTTTAAGAACGTTCGCATTTAGATAATATCTTTTTATTTTGTGGTGGAGGGGGGGTAGCTGATAGATATAAGCGAAAGTAATTTTTTTTTGTAATGATTACATGCRAAAAATTGCAAGCATAGGGGGGGTCTAGAATACTTAAAAAAAACGGCGAACGTAATATGTGATCCACGCCTAAGTTGTTTTGAAATAGCGCACATAAGCGATTGTATTAAATAACAAAATTATAACTTTCACTAACTTAATAAGAAAATTTTTATTTTATTATAGATTAAAATTCTAAAAATAATTATTATTATTTTTAATATTTTTTAATAATAATTATAAATTTCTAAATTTTAATTCAAATTTTTTATGCCCTGTTTTTATGCTTTTTATTCAAATCTATACACAAATAGTTTTTTTTAATCTAAATATATTTTATACTTTTGCCGCCATTTTTTAAAAAATAAAAAAAAATAATGAGAATCTATTATATCTTAGTTTTTGATGCTCTATGTAAATGTAAAATGTTAAAATTTTTAACTAATTTTTTTTTCAATATTTTAATGTTGATCCTCTTTTAACTTTATAAAAATTTCAAAATTTTCAATATGAAAGTCAACGACCAAACATTTATATAGATTTTAGTTAAACTAATTTTTTATATTTTATAAACATTTAATATCATATAATATTTAGTATTATTTTATTAAATAATTAATTAATTAATTTTTTTAATTAATAATATTAATTAATAATTTGTTCATATCATTTACAGTACAATATTAATGATATTATTATTATTTAAAAATGGTTTTATTTTTCATTTTTAAACATTTTTTTGCAAATTTATTGCAAAATTTTTTTTTTAATTAATAGCGTATTTTAATTTTCATTCAATTATCGCAAATCAAATAAATCAAATTAAATGAATTATTTTATTTTTTTTTGTATATTATTATTATTACTACTACTAGTATTTAATTTAATTTGATTAGTGATATTTAATTTATTATCTTTTAAATTTGCTATAATTATAAATGATATTTTTTTACTTACTATCATTATTATTATAATTACAAAATTTAAATAAAATATATTTTAGTTTATTATAAAAAAATAATATAATCATTGAAATTAAATAAAATTATTTATCATTTATATAAAATTACTCAAAGAAAAATCTTATGTTTAATACTATATATATATATATATATATATATATATATATATATATATATATACAATATATAGTGTACTATAATAATGTAAAAATAATTATCATTACTTTTTATGTGAAAAAAGTTAAATTTCATGTTTAACTTTTTTTTATATATATATATAGATATATATTGTAATTTAATCTGGCTAATATAATTCACATATATATATATATAAATAATTTTTTTAAACCATTGTTTATCTGCAAATTATAATATAATTTAGAAATTAAACTGTAATAATGGCATTATAAATATAAATCTAAGTTTAAGTTATTAAATATACCTGTATTATGCTATTTGATAATCAAAAAAGTTAATTATGATTATTGTGAACTTGGTTTTTTAAATCATAACTATTATTATTATTATTATAAGATACCAGTATAAAATACATTATTGTAATATATAATATTATTTTATTTTTTGTATACAAAAAAAATAATAAAAATATAAGTCAAAAAATAATAAAAATTAAAAGTCTTAAAACGTCAATTTTAAAAACATATTATATATATATACAGTATATATACTGTATATATGGTTGTTATATAAAAGTTTGCTTCAAATAAATTCAAGGATTTCAAGCTTAAAACAAAAATAAAAATAATAATAAAATTGAAAACTAAAAGTCAATTTTGGAGAACAAAATTATTTTCTTTATTATTAATAATATTTTTCTCTCATATATATATATATATTATTTTTTTAAGTATTTATTTAACTTAATGTCAAACTAATTGCAGCTTTTAGCTAACATTTAATAGTTTAGTATTATTATTATTATTATTATTATTATTATTATTATTAGTAGTAGTAGTAGTAGTAGTAGTAGTAGTAGTAGTAGTTTTATTTTCATATATATATACAATATGTTTATGTATTTTACGATATGATATGATAAGTGTGTGCGGAAGTCATACAATAATTTTGTTTTGTTTTATTTTATTTTTTAAAGAAAATATTTTTTTAAAAAACATATGATTTGAACACATAATTTTATATTGCATTCAAATATATATATATAATTTATAAGGGTATTTAAATATGCTATATTACATTAAAAGCATATTATTATTATTATTAAAATTATTAATACAATAATAATAATAATAATAATAAATATGATTCACACACACAAACAGCTTTTATTTAAAATTATTTATTTTTATTTATTTTTTACAATTAGTATTATATTAATATATGTTGTATGAGTTTGTAAAGTATTTTTTTTGTTAAATATACAGTACAACAAAATTGCAATATATTTTTTTAAAGTAAAAAATTAATAGTTAATAATAACAATAATAATAATACTGTATTGTTATTTAAAGCTAACATTTTTTTGTGATGAACAATATTAGTGAATTGTTTAGTGAATAATGTATTTTTATATATATAAATATAAATATATACTGTATTATACATTAATACTATATATATATGATATATTATAATAATTTGATTGCACTTCTATCTCAATGTCATAAATATAAACAAAAATAATAATAATAATAATAAAAATAAAAATAGAGAGTGAAATAGTAAAATGATTTTTCACTAATAAATATATTTACAAAAAGTGCATAAAGTTTTATATATTATATATATATTTATATATAATTTTTGTTTGTTTTTTGATAAATGCATTTCCATTTAGTTTAGTATTATATATCTAATACAAACATTATGTGTTAGACAATCAAATATTAATACTAGTACTACAGGTATAGATAGATTAAATAAATTATTATTTTTATTATTATAGGATAGTTATTATTCTCTCTCTCTCTCTCTCTCTCTCTCTCTCTCTCTCTCTCTCTCTCTCTCTCTCTCTCTCTCTCTCTCTCTCTCTCTCTCTCTCTTTGTGTGTATGTGTGTGTGAAAAGATAGATATAATAATAATAATTTAATCATAATTCATATGAATTGACACAAAATCAAAAAACATAATAAAATTTGTTGTTTTAACAACTTTGTGGTAAAAATATTTTTTTTATATATATATAAAAATATGAATTTAGTGATAGAGAGAGAGAGAGAGAGAGAGAGAGAGAGAGAGAGAGAGAGAGAGAGAGAGAGAGAGAGAGAGAGAGAGAGAGAGAGAGAGAGAGAGAGAGAGAGAGAGAGAGAGAGAGAGAGAGAGAGAGAGAGAGAGAGAGAGAGAGAGAGAGAGAGAGATAACACTATAAT